GGTGATTCGAGCCCCTTCCACCCATGAATTGCCACCAGACCTTTCCACCAGGAATTGCCATCAGACCTTTCTACCAACTGAGCTGAAACTTGACTTGTTAAAAGTATTCAAAATGGAATCCTTAAATTACATTCTTAGATAACTTTTAGAAAGGAGTTGGAAAAATACAACTTCAACCATGCTCCCTATTCACCTCATAAAATAGAGAAACATCTAGGAGCTCCTAAATCTGAGGAGAGAGAAATGACTACTAGAGACTTCTTATAATTTAATGCTGCTTTGTTTTATGTATATTTTAAAATTTTAATTAATGCTAATTTTTTTTTTGTATATATTTTTTATATTTATAGAAATAGACCAATTAAAAAATAGTTATAGTATTTATAACTCCTTAAACTAGGGAGTACGATTGAAGTTTAAATTTTATAAAGAGCTCCTAAAATAGTTTTTGTGTATTTTTAACTAAATTTTAACTAAAAAATAAGGAGCATGATTGTAATTACTCTAAAGGCTTCAACTCTTATTAAATTTATACGTGCTTCCCGCTCCTTTTTTTCTCCCAACAATCCCTCATCTTTCTTATGGATCTTTCTCACAAATATCCTATAATCTAAATTAAGATTATTATTTTGTTTATAAATACTTTATCTCTTTGTTTTTTCCTCATTAAAATCTTGATTTTTTTTTCTCTTGCCCATTCATAAACAATACTAAATTTGAATTAATTATAAATGAAATTGATCTGTATACATGCAAAGTTTGCAATTAGTGAAACTGATGTCAGTATGTAACAGCTCATCATGGAATTAAATTTTTGGATATTCACTATTATACTCAATATATGATTCCGAATTATAAAAAAAAACCTACATAAAATGGACTTTAGAAACATACCCAAAACCTATTTATAACATAACAAAGAGGCTTCGAACTTCCTATAAATTACAAAATTGTCATCGATTTCTTAAAATAAGCTCAACCCTAAAACCTCCAAAAAAAAAAAAAAAACCAAAACAATCAATAGGGTATGAAAGTAATTTAATAATCAAACTTAAATTAATTTGTAAATAAATAAATCATAATCATGCTGAATAATGGCAAGTGCCGATTTCTTAGTGGAAGTGAGCCCATTATTCTTATATAAAGGACTGATAAGCTAACAATATGAAGCCAAGGTGAAAATATGTCTACCGGCCACCTATTTCTGAAGCCTTCGATTGGTGATCAAAAGAAGCAAGGTTGTTCTGAGGATTCTAAAGCGAGCATCGACCAAGAAAACAGCAACAGCTCGAGAATGAGTGCCACTCTGCAGCCCGAGAATGAGACTAGTAAGCGAAAAACAAACCAGGGCAGAAGAGGTAGTAATGGCTTCAGCATTGTTGGGAATAAAATTAAGGGGAATAAATCGGGCAAGGTAGGAATTTTTGGGTTTGGCAACACCACCCACATCCATAAAGGCCACGACCAGGAGAAAGGAAAACAGGTCCACTCCAGTAGCGAAGAAACAGACTCGGCCTCCAGTTCTGAAGACGACGAAGCAGTATTAACTAATTAGGCCTGCTTGGTTGGTTGTACTAGACTGGACTGGACTTCTTCAACTAGAATGGACTAAAATCCAATAAGGTGTTTGATGAGTTTAATCTCTCCGTTTGTTTTTGTTCTTGGTAACAATCCCCTCTTTTTCTCCACCTCTCTATCCTCTTCTGGCTTCATTTTTGTTGTTGTGGATTTTGGTAAATGAGTTGATCCAATTTGATCTCAGTTGTTCTGGGTAAATGAGTTGTATTTAGATCAGACGTTCGATGTAAGTCTCAATCTCTTTGATTGTATTGGTTATGTAATTTGATGCGTTTTAATTTTTAATTTTGTGTGTATTTTCTTTAAAATAATTATTTATGATATTAAATAATGAAATATACTCTAAAAATTAATTTTAAAATTCAAAATTCAAAATTAACTACTTGTTATTTTTACATTTTATTTTAACTAGTCTCTCTGCACGTGCTTCCGCGCATGCAAGAGTTTTTTTTTTTAATAAAAAATTTAAAAATTATTTTAGAATTAAAAAAGATAATAGGTAGTTGTATTTTATAAAAATAGGATCCACTATCTAATTTTTCTTTTAATTTTAATTTTTTTAAATATGAAAAGTATGAATTTACCATATTATCATAATTTAATTAATAATTTCAATTCTTAATGTTTGCATTAATTAAGAATATTTTCTGGTTTTTGAATGTTTTACTATTCTCTGTCTTTTGTTTTATTTTATTTTAATTTATTAAATAATGATTGCTATTTCTTTTATAAAATAATGTTGATTTTATTATATCAAAATCCCAAAATTTATCAATATCACATCCGCCACACCACCGCATAATTATTCATGTGACACACATCGTGTCGCATGCCGCACCACCAGACTGCAAGTCATCTTTGCCTATATTTCTTGTTGCGATATGCTTCTCAAATATTCATGAACAAACCAACTATAGTATATAACTGCGCTTCATTTCCTACGCATTAATCCATGTGCGAATGTGAAGAGATCTCTCACATTGGAAAATTAACAAATTCATCAAGAATTTATAAGGAGTTGGGCTACTTACTCTATTATCAATTAGTTTTGAATTGGAACTTCAACTTCTTTCATGGTATTAGAGTTAGCTTCTCAACCTGACAAACCCACAAATTAATTTGAATCAAATTGCGTGACGATTTTGATCTCAGTATTGATCAAAGAGTTAACAGTACAACCCAAAATATAACTAAATTCTTCGAGTAGTGCACATGAGAAAAATTTGAAGTTTATGAAAATAGGATTTTGGTAGTGAAATTCATAATTATTATCTCAATGTCAATAATGTATTATTAGTCCTATTATGATATTTTCATCGGATTCAATTCTCTTTCTATAGATGACAACGAAGCCCATTATTAGCTCATGGATGGCAAAAATTCCCGCGGAGGCAGGTCTCCGTCGAATCCCTGACTCTAATGGAATGAGATTTTGGGGCCAAACGGATATCGAGTATGGGGATTCCTAAACTTGAAAAATTCCCGACGGGTATTTGGAGGAGATGGTATTGGCGTCCCCATCCCCGAACCCAACCCGAAAATATATATATATTTATATTTAAATAAATAAATAAAAAATTATAATATTTATGTTTAACCCTAAATTAACCTCTCTCTCCTAATTCTTCGTAAACTGGGTTGAGTTCGGGTACATGAGTAAAGATGGAAAGCAGAGACGAAAATTGTATTGTCATACCCGGCTCCTATTCGACCCGTTGCCATCACTCATGAGTCATGATTATGTGTAGGATGCTGGCAGACTCTTGTGCCCGAGTGGGCCCCCTCCCAATAAAAGCTGAAGACCCCGTGATTTACTCTGTTCTCTCCAGAACCCACCACGTGATTCACTTATCACCTGCCAAACCAAATATACACAGGGGCCCGCTAGCGCATAAAATTAATTAAAAACCTGATTCTTGTACTCATGCAAGATCCATAGCCCATAGGCTTCTGGTGATTCCAACATTTAGTGAGAATATATCTACGGACCAGTTTGAGAACAAAGTGCAATTTCAATTTTTAAACCTCTGAAAGCCTCCTTGACAAACAAATAAAATAAATAAATACTTCTGAATGCCTCTTTTCTTTTCTCTTTCTTTTCTAAACACTTTTCTTTGCAAATGAAAGCTTCTTTTTTTGTTTTGTTTTTTGTTTTGGGAAAATTAATAGCTAGTTTTTATTATTATTTATAACTCTAATAACTTTTTTTAAAATAAAAATTATCTAAACATTTTTTTTCCCTATAATACATTTTTAATGCATCTTCCCTTTGCTCAAATTTCTCATTGAACGTTGTAATTCTATGTGTATTTTTCATTTATATTTATGCAAACAATGTTGTTCTTAATCTTGTTCAAATTTTAAAGTTTTTTCGTTTAGATGTTCATTATAAAAAAAAAAAAAACCAAAATTAACACAAAATAAAGTTAACAAAAAATAGAAACATGTAAACTAAATTACATCATAAACAATATCTATAGAGCCCTCGGTATAGAGCTCCTCATTATGGGAAATATACTATTAAAGACCAAAATATTTCTTCGAGCTTTATACGGAACTCTACCAACTATTAGGGATTGCCTAACATATAAGCCAAAAAATGAAGGACCCAAAATTAAAGTAGAGAGCCTTTGCGTCAGCAATGGAGACTTAAACTAGGTAAGCATTAGGCTTGCCGGCCACTTGCGCGGTACGCTCATCTTGGCCCACTAGGGGGTTGAATTTCCTTTTCCCTCCATACGTCCCAATCGGTATTCAATCTTTAATAATAATAACTTCCAGGTAATTTCAAAATTTATTTATTTATATTTTTTTTTGGTCTGAAATTTCAAAATTTATTCCCTTTACAGCAAACATAAAAGTAGAGAGAGAAAGAGCCGGTAAAAAAGGTGGAACATGATTAGGGGTGACCCTAATTTTCAAAGGTGATCATCATAGTCCAAGTATAATTATTCTTCATGCCTTTAAAGCTACGGAAATCACGATCCAGTCAATCATATTAACATGCAATTAATATCTAAAAATTCTTTGACCAGTTCTTTTGTTTATAAGTAATGAATTATGCGCAGTAATCTTGGCTTGGTTTAAGTATTATCACAAGAAGTCTTCTGCAATCAAGATGGAATCTCTGCGTGTGGAAGCATTCAGATGGTAAGTTATTCATGCATTTCATTCATTTTGCATTTAGCATTTCGAAATGTTAGAAACACGTTTTCTTCTGTCATTTAGATGACCTGTCATATGCTGTGGTTCATTCTGCTTTTTCTTGCCAGCTCATTAAAATTGATCCACGTGATTTTCACATGGTTTTCATTTTTGTCCTCTTGTGAATACCATGATTGGCTGGCAGCTGCATTGAAGTTTCCTCTTTTTAAAAGCTGCTGGTCTTTTCCTTCTTGAGTCTGCATTCAGATCTAGCATCACACACATATATATATAGATTTAGATGAGATTCTTTCATTAGTTTCTTCAAGAATGGTTTCTTGAAGGAACTGAGTTTCAAATTACATAATCTACATTTCATCATCTCATTCTCTGCATTCTGCTGAGCTCCTGAAGTCGTGAGGTGAAGGAGCTGAGGATATAGCTGCCACTTTCATGAGGGACTTGAGCTGACATCCTGAGCTGAAAAAAAGGATTGCATAGAGAGGTATAGCTGCTCCTTAATAGATCTAGAAATTATAAGCTAGTACTAGTATTTTCTATACGAATTCTTATTCTCTTAGTGAATTGCCTAGTCGGATGATCACCCTTAGTTTTTTCCAATGGTGGGTTTCTGGGTGAACATGTCTGTTTGTTGATTCTATGACTTTGACTAATCATCTCTTATTATTATTCATAATTCTGATTTAATGGATTCTCACACACATAACACCATAGTTGTTGCTAGCATAGGGGATGCCAAGATTTACAGGTCCTTCTGAGTGTTTAAGTTGTCGCATAAGTACTAATTTTAGACTGAAACATCATGACGATGTTGACAGAATCCGCCCCTGAAGTTCCCCTTAGAACCCGTGACAAACCCTGTTGCCCGTATGACATCTAACCAAAGGCGGACCTAAGCCTAGGCTGGAGTGGGCTCCAGCCTAGGGGAACATTTATGAAATATTAAACATGGTCTTATTATTATAGATTTATTCTTAGTCCAATAAATATTAGCCCATTGCACCAAATAAATATAGCCCAACACATGCATTATTTTTCTTTTTTTTAATAAATTAATAATAGCCTAATCTAAGTAAAGTAAATAATAGCTCAGTCCTCTATTTAAAATAAGCCCACTCTTGAAGCATATAGGAAATAATAAACGTCAATCCAATCCAAACCTATATAAAATTGATTAGAAGCATAACTCACGCTAAGGCTCTACCAACTTCACTAATCGTACTGATATTGGGCTACACCCACATAGAGCAAACATCAAAATATTTCTTTTAACCACCGAAAATGCCATATTTGAACCTTGAGAGCCCAGAAGAAAGAGCTCTCCTCCTCTAAAAAATTGTACCAACCTATCTTGAGTGGGTTCTTCAATCTTAGTGAGTTTTTTTATTTATTTTATTATATATATACATATACATAGAGCTTCTATTGAGGGATCCTTCAAATAAGCTTATTTGAGAGACACCCTTTGTAGGGCCCACTCCGGATTGTATTTCACTAATCCGAACCGTCTATTTTGTAGATACTCATTCAAAGATCATCTCTACAAAAAAATCACTTGAATCCGATATAATTTGATCACTCAATTGAGTTCTTGAAATTTTAGTACTTTCTTGAAGTATCGTGTTTATTGATTTTGTAGGACACAATTGGATATCGAAACGGTTTCTGATTTGTCTAATTTTTTGCAAGGATGATCTATGAATATAGACTTAAAAAATAGATGGTTTGGATCATTGAAAATAAATTCGTAGGTTACCATAAAGTGTATCCTCTACAAGTAGATTATGATGGTGTCATGTCTACTTATTTAGGAGAAAACGTTAAGTTTGAGTTCCTTTCTAAGCCGGAGTTGCACAACTTAAGAACTTTACAAAAACAGTCTGTTTCTAAGTCTGTTCAAGTCATTAGAAAAGTCAAACAGTTGAATTTTCTGAAAGAAGAAATTAAGTTTAAAAGAATCGAACAACAGTTAGAAGATGAGTCTTTACAGTTGCAAATCCAACAATTTGAATCTAAGTTAAAAAATGAAATTTGTTCTGATTTGCCTAACGCTTTCTGGTATAGGAAACAGCACGTTGTCAGTCTTCCCTATATCAAAACCTTTAGTGAGAAAAATATTCCCACTAAAGCTAGGCCAATCCAAATGAGTCAAGAATTAATGGAATTCTGTAAAAAAGAAATCCATGAATTACTTCAAAAGAAAATAATCCGTAAGAGTAAGTCTCCGTGGTCGTGTCCTGCTTTTTATGTCCAGAAAAATGCTGAACTAGAAAGAGGAGTCCCCAGATTAGTTATCAACTATAAGCCTCTTAATTCGGTCTTAGAATGGATTAGGTACCCCATACCTAATAAAAGAGACCTCATTAACAAATTAGAAAAAGCAGTTGTCTATTCTAAATTTGATATGAAAAGTGGTTTCTAGAAAATTCAAATAGATGAGTCAGATAGGTATAAAACTGCATTTGTTACTCCTTTCGGTCATTATGAATGGAATGTCATGCCGTTTGGTTTAAAAAATGCTCCTAGTGAATTC